TTCAACTGGTGTTTGCGGCTGAGTGAACGTGTGGCAGTGGAGCATAACCAGACAGTTTGCACGCGGCCGCGCTCACTGTCTTGAGGTGGCGGCGTGGTGCGCAGGGGCCGTGGAAGGGCTCAGGGCGCGCCCAGAGGCGTCCGCAGGGCGAAGGCGGCGGAGCAGCAGCGCGGCCAGCGCCGCCAGCGCCACGGCCGCCGCCACGTCCAGCAGCTAGCAGCTCGTAACACGCCCAGGCGCAGCGAGGCGGCGCGCAGGTGCGGCGCGCTCGTGGCCAGCAACGTACTCCACCACCACAGCGCCGTCTCCAAGGGGAGCGCGCCTTGGTGCTCGCGGTACACGACCCGAGAAAGCGACGCAATGCGCTCGCGTAACTGACGCCAAACACACACCGCCGATTAAAAATTTGATGTTATCAGGTACGACAACTGCTATGGCCACTATCCAATTAGTGTAGTGAATGTTTTTTTATCAAGGGAGCGGCGGTGTTTCTTTAGAGCATGGTGTGATCAACCTGCAGCCACCTACCATATCGGTCTTGCCGTGGATTTTCCCCACTACGTAACTCCCTCCAGCGGGGTGTATGCCAATGTGGAAACTTTAAAGCTCCCGATTGGTTTCCGCATGTGTGGTCTTGTAGAGCAGCTGTATTGTGGTTTCGTAAGGGGAACATAGACAATAGTAGAGGATATCGCGCGGTGTTTCGTCGCTTAGTACTGCTATGGCATTTGTCTAGTTATTCATAATAAAAAGGAAACAAAAAACTGGGGCTGGGATCAGGAAATCTGGGGCTCTATAAATTCTTTTTCCTGACATCGTTCGATTTGGGCCCTAGCTAAGTAGCTAGTCTCGAAAACCGCCCTACAGTAAGACCTGCTGCTCCGAGTCAACGGTTTTTGCCCGTCTCTCTGAGCTAAACGTGAGCTGTACACACCACCGTCAACGAATTCGCCTCCAAGTGTAAATCGTTAGAACATCATTTCAGACGTTCACCAACAGTTTCTTACCCTGGAATCATTGGAGAACTTGGTGATGGAGGCAAACATCGTCTCCTCGTTTTGAGATCTTTGAAATTCGAGTTTCACTCCGATGTCGGAGGAAACCCATCTTGGCCGCGTTGTATAACCTGGTCGCGCCATGAACGGAATTACTAACACAGGTACTCCGTGGTACGGCGTCTCTGGACGCTCTGCGGCCTCCTTGAGTGACGAAACAGGCGAACGTTCGGGTGCGCTGAAAATAAAGTTATAGGATTTAATGAAAACTAGCGGACCCGTCATGCTTCACTATTTGCAATGGTATTAGACTTCACACTTTACTAGTCATGTTTTTCAATCACGTTTTACCCTACGTCTTAAAACACAATTCTAATACATCTAAAACTTGTTCGGAAAATAGGGATTGATTCTATACACCTCGTTTGAACGTGGTTGTCAAGTATCTATTGTTAAAAGATTCTTCCTAGTGTTTGGGCATGTGTTCGCTAAGAAATTGTCTTGGAGAAAATTTTGAATTTTACTTGTCAGTGATACCGTTCAAGTAATAATCGGATGTTAAAATTGCGGCCAATATTTCACAATTTGGGGCAGAATATGCAGCTTATCATTTGCTTTAATACTTGAGTTGTGAAGAGGGTTTCCTCGCACTTCTGTTGAGGGCACACTGATGCTTGTCATAAAAAAAACTCAACAAAGCGCCCTAATTGCCTTCTGATTTAAACCAGTCTTTAAATACTTTAATGAACTTGGAGAATTGACAGTAGGACCAAGAATAAATCACGAAAATGATAAGGGGTCCGCTGAATTAATTTTCTCAGTCTGGGAGACTACGTTTTTTGAGATGAACATAACAAAAGAGGGAGGTATTTTTTGGCGCAACATTTTATTTTAACGACGACTACGAGAAATACGAATAGAGTGAGGGTAATGATTACAACGCCGGCCACTAGAAATTTTGAAGGCAAAGTTTATAGCTAGAAAATCGAATTCAAACGGCTGCTTTCCGAAAAATGTGCGTGAATACAACACGATTTTCAAATGTTGTCACTAATATTGTAACATCGAAAAACAGACAAATGTAGTGAGTGAATGTGTAAGTAAATAAGTCAATAGAATGGGAAAGAGCATACGAGTAAACTGATTATTCAACGAAAGGCATGCATCACGGCTTAGGTGAGATGCGATAGCGACTGGTGTTGTTAAGTCGGAAGGGGGTAAAGTGGCCAAGGACGTAGATGGAAGGAAGTCACCTAGGTTCCGTTGATGTCCCTTCATGCGACGAGCAGTGTCTGAGGATCGGATGGGAGAAATTACGAATACTGAATGGAAGAATGGGACCTGAAGTATTATTATCTAAGTGGCCTTTTTCAAAAGTTTTGAGATAATTATTTTTTTCGCCTCGACACTAACTTTTTTAAATCATTAAATCACTCATTATTTAAAAATATATAATGTATTTAAGTTTAGTTTTTAGTTTTTAAATCCCTAAAATGAACACCAACCAATGTCAACAGTATATTGATAAATGTAAGCTAGAGTAAATATTGCTAATAAGTAAAATATTTGATATATGTTCCTCAGTGCTAACCAATCAGTTCTAGCCAAAAATGTTTTTTTATAATAAAGGACGTTTGTTTTAAAATTTTTGCCACTCTGTTTCTTTTTATGCAAAAAAATCAGGTAACCTCAACCTCAAATAAAAACAAGAATGAAGTTAAAAAACACAACAACGCTTTGTTTTCGCCGCGCCTGGCACTTAGATCATATTCACATTTGCTTAAAACACACACAGAGCACATACAGATCACGCATTAAGTTTTGGCAATGATCTGAAACTACTTATACATAGATTTGGCACTTAGGATAGAATATACTTCGAGTGGCTTTGACGCATAGATCATAATTCGGTTTACAACTAAAAAATGAAAAAAAATTTAAGTTCAATCAAAATTTACTTATCATCTTCAAAAGTACTTTTTGCATTGAAGGGAAGCGACCCCCCCTAGTAAACGCTTTAAGTTTCATTACCAAGCACAGGATTTAAGCGTCTCATGTGTGGCAACTTGGTTTTGGGCTCTGTGCACCCTCCCTCGTAGCGCTAATGCTCACACCGCCAGGCCGCAGCGCGCGAGAGAAATACCATCGGTCAACTGGGTGGATGGCTTCCCTGCTAGCTCACGGCTATGAGCTTCCCATACTGCGCAGCGACGTGGAATTAAGCGCTTGTTTCAAAACGCAAGGACAATGGCCTTCTCACTGCTCATGAGTTGTCAAGACACTGCGAACGACGAAGCCAAGAGGCTCCCGCCTAGGAGGCACTCTGGACTAAGGCTCGACCCGGACCCCAATTACCTGCGATCCAGCTTTGGCACTGACGACTGAGTTTAGCCGAGAAACTCCGGCCCAAGTGGACGTTTGCAGCTTCAATCAAGAACCCTTTGATCTCATAGACGAAGGTTCCCCTAGCCAAGAGTAGGTTGGCTGAGGAAGGGATGGGAGGACTCGCTGACGTGTTGGCGTAATCAATTCGAGTTTGCGGGAGGTGCAGAGGTCGTCCGGGGTGGAGAACTCACTGAGAATGCGTTGGTGTCAGAGGCGAGTCGCTGAGGTAACGTTGGAAGAAACAGTAAAGCGTGAGATACTAGTGTTCAGACGAGAGGGAGGAACTCTCCGAGGAATGCGTTTGGCGTGTGGTGCGGGAGGCTGAGGACGGGAGAGAAGACTCACCAACGGAAGCGCTGGCGTGTGATGCCAAGAGGCCTGAAGTCGTGGGGTGAGGACTTCACCGAGGATGGTCCTGCTGCGGGAGCCACTTGGCCACTCGCACGTTGGCGGCGGCCGGGCAGCTCGTCGTCTCGACTTCCAGAGCTAAAGCGCTGCGGCAGGCGCGCCAGGGCGCGCAGTGATGGCCTGGAGCTTTCTCGGGCGGCAGGTCCTTGCTCATGACGTGGAGCCCAGGCTGAAGTAGAAACGATCCTTGCTCGCGCCGTCCAGACCTACGCTGCAGGTCGGCCGGGAAGGGGGCGTGTCTCTTCCCGCACGGTGCAGCCCTGTCAGTTGCACCACGTTGGGCAGCAGAGCGGCGTG